AGGAGCTGAGTGGGTCTATCGTGTTGTCTAGCTGCTGCCGTAAAGAGCCCAGAGTTCTGCCTGTTCCAGACACCCACAGCTCTTTGTGTAACGTGTTTCCCCGTGTTCTCCAGCCCAAATGAAACCCCTTTTAGTTTCCAGTTGTGATGCTCGTGTCACTACTGAGTGATAAACAGTCCCTGGAGCTGTTCAGCTGAGGAGATTTATCTCTGAAGATGATGTCAGTATAGAGATATAATCTGTATATAATGATCCTTGAGGCAGCTCTACTCTGAGCTCTTTCTAGGGCAATAATATTTTGGGTGTGGTTTGGTGACCAAGACTGAAAACAGTGTTTAGCATGACATTGAGTGTGCCCTCCCTGGGGTGGCAAAGAAATTGTCAAAGCATGTTTCATCCTTGATAAATGACTCAGTCAGATCAGATTTCTTTCCCCAAAAGCCTACCTTTCAGCTATGTGTCATCTTCTGCTTTGTGTTCGCTTACATGCCTGCCCGCCTGCCTGTGGCTCCTGCTCTGTGTTCGCCTGTCTGCCTGTCATCTGCGTCCCGGCTTCTGCTCTGTGTTCGCCTGCCTGCCTGTTGTCTGCGTCCCGGCTCCTGCTCTGTGTTCGCCTGTCTGCCTGTCATCTGCGTCCTGGCTTCTGCTCTGTGTTCGCCTGCCTGCCTGTCATCTGCGTCCCGGCTCCTGCTCTGTGTTCGCCTGTCTGCCTGTCATCTGCGTCCCGGCTCCTGCTCTGTGTTCGCCTGCCTGCCTGTCAGCTACTTCTTGTCTTCTGCTCTGTTCCCCAGGAGAAGAACTCCAGCCACGAGGTGACGGTCGTGCTGTTCTCACGGACGTTTTACGATGCCAAGACTATCGGTACGGCCTCCTGCCTCTCTGCTCTGGAACTGAACCAGACTTGCGTCTCATGCAGTAAAAAAGAAACTTCTACAACGTTTCTTTGAAACCCTGTCTCTCTCTGCTCCCTGCCTCCAGAGGAGTTTCCCGAGATCCACCGAGGCTCCATCTGTCAGGACCACGAGGGCCGGTTCTACGAGGACTTCTACAGGTCTGGTCTGGTCTCAGCCGGGCCGTGACGAGCAGCATGGTGGGCGTTGCCACCTCGCAGCCCCCGGCCAGGGCTCAGGGCGGCTGGGCTGCTGGTGCAGGATGGCGGCTGAGTGGTGGGGAAGCGGGGCTGCTCCTGTGTGTGGTGTGTGTGTGCGTAACGGGCTGGAGTATCTGCTGCCGAGAGAAGTGCTGTGTCTATGCAGCTGTTATTGCCTGGAGGGGGGGGGGTAGAGAATATTTGGTCTTCAACAGTGACAGATTACAAACTGAGTGCTCTTGGGGACATGGTGGGATTGACCTGGGCTAGAACAGGTCTGCTGAGGTCTGGAGCAGTGCAGTGCGGTCCTGGCTGAGCTCTTTCTGGGTTCTACAGTGGAGCCTCCTGGCCTCCCTGCAGGCGAAGGAGGTTCTGACGTCCCCCTGGTCTGCAGGGCTGGGCTGCTCCTGTGCGTGGTGTTTGTGTAACAGGCTGGCAAGAGAAGTGCACGACTGATAATACTTCCTGTTTATTAATATTTCATTTCTCACGCGTGTGTCTGTGTGCACGCAGGGTGGTGGCCCAGAACGAGCGGCGCGAGGAGTGGACGTCTCTGTTGGTCACCATTAAGAAGCTGTTTATCCAGTACCCCGTGCTGGTGCGGCTGCAGGGCACAGGTGTGCGCGGGCCCGGAGGGGAGGGGCAGCTCAGGGCGGGGCTCCCGAGGAGCGTCTGTTTTAATAATGTGTGTCTGCATTTCAGAGGACTTCCCCAGGGGACACAACTCCACAGCCGCTGAGGGAAACTACCTGGAGGCCATCAACCTCTCCTTCAACGGTGAGGCCTGCTGTAGTTCGTGTCTGTCTCTCCCTCTCTCAATTCAGTTTAGGAAGCTTTATTGGCATGACCAATGGCGTGCCAAAATACAGTTAACATAAGATCTACAGACATTTACACTATAGACACATCATAATACATTTACACATAGAGCATTAATGAGAGACAGGCTCAGCCTCTCTCTTCGCCTTCCTCTTCCCCCCTCTCTCTCTGCTGCACTGCTGCTCCAGTCCTAGTGATGGTGCTGTGTCTTGTGTGTGATTCCAGTGTTTGACAAGCACTATATTAACCGGAACTTCGACCGGACGGGTCAGATGTCCGTGGTGATCACTCCAGGGGTGGGTGTGTTCGAGGTGGACCGGCTGCTCATGATCCTCACCAAGCAGCGCATGATCGACAACGGTGAGGACACCCGCGCGCCCCCCAAAAACCCCTCATCCTGCCCTCGTCCCTCAGATTCCCAGAGCCTAGCGGTCCGATCCGCTCCGGGTTTTACAGTGCTGTCGATCTCTAGCGGTCTAGCTCTCAGCTGGAGAGAGTGGAGAGTCAGTAGGTGAGCATCTGTAGACTGTTTTAAAGGGAGTGAGTGGAACAGAGTGTTGTCATGGAAACTGCAGGTTACTCCGCCAGCAGGAAGCTGTGTTTCCTGGAAGGGTGCTGGAGTTTGCCAGGTGTGTGTGTGTG